GATCTCAGTTCCCAGATCAAATCCAGGCCCACAAGAGTGAAAGTGCTAAGTCCTAACCACTGGACTACCAGGGAATTCCAGATAATGTTTGAGTCTTAAATAGTGCACCCAGTTCTATACTTTTTACAAAAATCACAGTTATTTTTTCACAAAAATTATTTTTTAAAAATTAAAGGGGCAACATCAATAAAGTACGAGAGGAAATGTGATGAAAAATTTTTACCATACAATATAACACCTTGTACCATTTTGGGGAACATTAAATCACCCTGTTGAGAGATGAAGCAAAATCAGTAAGTCAAAAAAACTATAATTCATGAAATAAAAAGATTCACAATCTTTAATAGACATAGAAAAAATATATTAAAGTCATTATATTGTCTAAATAAAAAGTGAAAACAAAACATTCTTAAAAAACCATTAGACTAATTTAACAATAATAATTTATAGCTGATAAAAATAAAGAGATATGTATGTGTATGTAATATCTAATACATGGAAGAATCCAAGTGCAAAGAAACCACAACTCACATACAAGAAATGGAAACCAAAGAAAATAGGAATATCACAGAAGAGGAAAAATGACAAAATACATCAAATGTAGCAATTTTAAATGGATTAAAAGACAACAGCCTTCAAAATGGCTTGAAAAATCCAATCAAATTCTGTTTATAAGAGATACACCTGAAATAAAGTTATAGGTTAAAAAACCATAGACAACAGCATGCCAGTAATTAATAACAAAGTGAACTCAAAGAAAACAAAACAGCAAAAAAAAAATTTTTTTAATGAAAGCATACACACAAAAAAAGATCACTTTATATGGGCAAAATTTTTTAAACTAACCAAAAAATAAAATAAAATAAATATCACAAACATAAGCTGAATACATAAAACTAGATTATATAAGTCAAAAATATTTAGTCAACAAAAAATTTACAGAAAATATAGTAATGTAATGCAAACATTTCACTCCTGAGTTAAAACAGATTAAAAGAGAAATATATCAATAAGATTTCACAGGCTCTGAAAGTCACAATATATTCTCCATCCTACTTCCATGAATATTTACAAATATTATGTGGAATATTAAGCCACAAAGGAAATCATTAAAAATATAACATAGCAAAAAGTGTATATATAGGCCAGTATTCTTACTACAAACCACAAAGGGGAAAAAAAGACAAATTAACCACAAATGTTGGACTAAAAATGAAAGAAAAAGTCTCTTTGAAATTTAAAATCTCTACTAAATGTCTTCAAAGAAAACAATATCCTATCTATGAGTTTCAATTTTTTTCATATTTAAAAAGGGTTTTAAATGAAAAACCCTTATAAGGTCTTTCTAGTCACCCCTTATCCTGACACACCCAAAGCACAGTGGCTTTTATGTATCTACCAAGCATACACCATATGTTCAGCTTTCTAACTGATTATTCAATGTGATATGCAAAAGCAGAACAAGTCCCTACATTAAAACAGTGCATGATCAAATTAAGGAGTGAGGAAAAGCAAAGAGCAGTCACCAACAAACTATGAATATTCCAGAGATTCAAAGGAGATCAGGGTAGAAAGAAAAGACTTATTTATGTGAATTGTTAGGACTCAAAGAGTAAATATGAAAATCCAGAAAAGAAATAAAAAACATTCCGGTTAATAATACTATATCAATGAAAGCTAAAGAATAAAACGTTAAATACCAATGGTTATAAAAAGTTACTATAATGAAATACAGTCTAGGAAGAAAAACACAGTACTAGACCAAATTGTTTATACTACAAAATGAGTTGTAACAAGATTTTAAAGCACAATGGCTGTGGCTGCCAGCTAAAGTCTGGAAAGGCTCCCATCACTTTGAACGTCCATTCAAATAGACTTCCACTTTTAGATACATTTCATATCTCTGGAGAGAATAACGTTACCGATAAACAATGATCTTTATTTGCCATTTGGGAAACTGACCGTAGCAGAGGTAAGATACTCAGCCAGGCTTCCACAGCTACTTCATGCAATGAGAGGAAAATAGTAACAGCTAAGAATTTAAAGAACATTATCACATTTGGGCTCTTCTGATTCTGTACACTGTATATTTATTTCACATTCCTAGAGTATAACAAACAAAAATTAAAAGAATTAGACTAAAAAACTCTAGTCAAGAGTGCTATTTATCCTGAAAAGAGAGTAGGAAACCCAGACAGATTTTAAATTGGTTTATAATGAACAAGGTAGACAGGACCAAGACTGCCAAGTAGGAGGAGGTGGGAGGAAATTAAGCATCCTAGTTTCTGAAGAAAATGCTGTTATTAAGTATAATTGCACCAACTTGATCCAAATCCAATATTTCTTATTCATTGAAAAGAAACATATTAAAATAGCAGCAATTTCCTTTACAAATAAACACATTCAGCCAAGGAAGCTTCTCCTAAAAAAGTTTAACCCTCAAGGTAATAAAAAGCAGAAACAAAGTTATTTAAGTGTTCTAACTTCAAATAATACCTTCTAAATACAGATATGCTATAGTTAATTCAGTAACAAATTTTTTAAATTCCACTAAAAATTACAATGAAATTCTTTGTCTAATCCTATACATTTATGTTAAAGTGCATAAAAGTAAGAAAATCTTCCAATGAATAATTAGAAATTATTACTATGTATTAACTGGAAATTATGAATGGTAATAGTTGCACTTAATTATTTATAATTATGATCTTTAAAAAGCTATGAGAAACAGGAAATTTCACTTACAAATGCCTACATTTAGGTCTGACAAATTTTGAATATAAGCATCTTGCCGCACATACTATTGAGAAATTTGATTCCTCCCTTAAGATATTTTCAGTTATTATATGACCCTTGACTTGTAAGTTGCAACTGGACCAGAAACTATAAATTAACCATAAATATCTGTGGAGAAACCATATCTCTGAGTTTCTCTGAGTATGGTAACTCTTAAAATAGGTACATCCCTTGTAAATACAAGTTACAAGTATAATTTAAATACTTCAGCTAAAGATGTTATATCAGTAAGGTCTTTCTACCCATTACTCTCCCATGGCCCACATACACACAAAAGCCACAATGAGTTTGTAGTGTTTGAAGACACTGGCTCCTAGGGGCGCTGAGACCCTAAGCCAGGACGGGTCACACACCCACCAGTGTGACTGTCTTCTTGCACCTGAGCTGTTACCTGGGGAGCCAAACAGCTCTTGAGTGGATACATGAACTGCGGCAAGAATTACTGTCCCAGAAGAGAAATACTTGATACTGCCCTGCTGGCAAGATATTTTTCCTGCTCTAAATCCTTGTAAGTAAAACTGATATAAAATGTCTGGTGAATCTGAGTGTTTGGTTGAACTTAAAAGACCATCTGAAAAAAAAAAAAGACCATCTGGTAAACTTTGAAAAAGCTAACCTCAAGATTTTAAATTTTTCTTCAGACACAAAAGAACTGTAATTTGTGCTAAGTGCACAGCATTTTCTCATAAAATATGAGAAGCAATTTCTTTTTAAAATATTCAATGTTTTCAAAACATTGTTTTCATTTTTCCAATATGTAAGCTTCAGATTAACCATTAATATAAATATAAAGGACTTTCATAGAGCCTCCACAGTAATATTCTACATTCAGCTTCTTAAATTGGGGGGATTAGTTACACTGATCAGATACTATGAGCATCACTGACAAATTCTCCATATGGTTTTTAAACATTCAATAAAATTATCTCAATAAGCAGAACTGAGTAGATCTGGGAATCCATGAAGCTTTATAGAAAGTTGGTTTTATCGAGATTTTTATCATTTATCGAGATTTTTAATTCTAAACATAATCTGAGATGTTAAAGAGTTTGTCAAGATCTTGCCTCATATGCTGACAAACTATTGCTATTTTTGATAGATTTTGTAGAGTTCATGTTAAGACACGAATTTTGTCTTTCATTTTAAATGCAAAAAGTCCCCCATTTAAAACTTAAGCTGTCTGGCTTCCTCCTGGCACCATCAAGAGAAACTGAGGCCCTGCCGTCTAACTCCGCCCCCTACATGCAGCAGGACTGTACCCAGATTTCCATCCCATTACTAAAGTTCATCCCTTTATGTCTCAACGGCTTTTTATTTTTAAGGATCTTTACTAAGGATCTTTAACTCAGCACTCTGTTATGACCTAGAGGGCTGGGATGGGGTGGGGGTGGCAGGAGGGAGGCTCCAGAGGGAGGGAATATATATGTAGACACATAGCTGGTTCACTTCGTGAACTGGTACACAGCACTGTAAAGCACTGTAAAGCAATTATACTCCAATTTTAAAAATTGAAAAAAAAATCGACACTGTCTTAAACACATCAGTTCAGTAAGCAATTCTGCACCATTTGACACTGTAAGTTCTGAAACAAGCCTTTAAGTGTAACATCCTCACAGTCTAATAAGACGTGATCTCTAAATGGGATTCATTAAATGCTTAAAGAAATCCTCTTCTATTTTAAAGAAAATTATCTATCAGGTAAACTATTTTCTTGAAATCTTAAATTTATAAAGAATATCTTGCTAGAGATACTAAAGAAAAATGATTAAAAATGCTAATTAAAGCTTTTTTATATTCTCCTTTTCTAATAAAGACTTCCCTGGTGGCTCAGACGGTAAAGCGTCTGTCTGCAATGCAGGAGATCTGGGTTCGATCCCTGGGTTGGGAAGATCCTGTGGAGAAGGAAATGGCAATCCACTCCAGTACTCTTACCTGGAAAATCCCATGGACGAAGGAGCATGGTAAGCTACAGTCCATGGGGTCTCAAAGAGTCGTACATGACTGAATGAATACACTTTCACTTCCTTTCTAATAAAATTTATATTTTAAATTATCTTCATTGTTGATATTCAACATCACTTGTCATTTTTTAGTAAAATCAGTTTCATAATTATTTCATAAAATAAAAAATTTCATAAAAAATTCTTTCATAAAACTTTCAGTGAATTCCTTGATAAAGATACTCTTTAAATTAAATCACTTACTGTAAACAGCCCACTCTTACTGCTACAGGAACATGGAGAAGTTGAGTGGCCCATTTCAGTGTCACATCTTGATAAATATGCAACATATTATTATGGTTTCCAATCAAAGTATTTATTGTTCCTTCAGAAACTATGGATGGAAGATAGAAAAGGAATAGTAAGAAAAAAATCATTTTCAACAGTTTTTACATTCTTTTTAGAATGTATTATTTATACATTCTATTATACATGTATAATTTGTATAATTCTATACAAATTAATTATAATATCTTGGCTTAATGCATAAAGATTTTAAATAATAAAACTGTTTTTCGATTTCAAGGTACTAGTATCAAAAATTTTTTAAATCATTTATAAATATATAAAAATTATATATATAACTAGAGAAACTAGAACTAGTGTGGCCAACATTTTTGCATTTTATCTAAAAAGGATGAACTTGGTTAATATATTTAACATATTTAAGCTTTGATTTATTAGACTTTCACTACAGACAAGTAATTCTATGAGTCATTACTATGCTCATTTCTCCTTATAAAAGAGTCTGATGTTCTCTTGGAAGCATCTTGAATAGCCACATCTTGGAAAGCATTATTATATACCTGAGGCCAATTCTACAAATCATTTTGTACAAAGTAAAATGACTGACAAAACCAAATGTGTGCTTTATATCAAACCTCTATTCAAACATTAAAAGCTAAAATTTCCATTACATGTTCAGTATAAAACTATTCTCCTAGTTCTTTAAAAAATATGTGAGTGACTTTGGCTTTTTCTGGTGTATATAACATAGTCATGACATATGGAAAAGATAAAAGAAAATCTTTCTACACACCTGAGCAATACGGGAGAAAACAACTTGGGCTATAATCAAGTTTCTTCATAAATCGAATTTGTCCATTATCCTTAAGGCAAAAAAAGTTTCTCTCACCAAGAACAAAAACAGAAGATGCTGACTGATTGAAAGATACAATACATATATCAAGGGCTTGTTCTCCAATATTTAGAGTCCAATCTACCTGCAAGGGAAAACTTATGATCACTGGGTTGCTAAAAATATAATTTCATTCACTTTGATATTAATACAATTAAGAAATGCTTTACAACAAAGCAGGCATAAAGATTAATCCTCATTCATTTTTTTCTCCTATTACCATATTTTTTATATTTTGTAGACTCTAGTAGTTTTTGCCCCTTTTACCATGTGATATAACAAACTGTGGAAAATTCTTAAAGAGATGGGAATAACAGACTACCTGACCTGCCTCTTGAGAAATCTGTATGTAGATCAAGAAGCAGCAGTCAGAAGTGGACACAGAACAATAGACTGGTTCCAAATGGGGAAAGGAGTACATCAAGGCTGTATATTGTCACCCTGCTTATTTAACTTATATGCAGAGTACATCATTCGAAATGCCAGGCTGGATGAAGCACAACATGGAATCAAGATTGCCAGAAGAAATATCAATAATCTCATATATGCAGATGACACTACCCTTATGGCAGAAAGCAAAGAACTAAACAGCCTCTTGATGAAAGTGAAAGAGGAGAGTGAAAAAACTGGCTTAAAGCTCAACATTCGGAAAACCAAGATCGTGGAATCCGGTCCCATCACTTCATGGCAAATAGATGGGGAAACAATGGAAACAGTGAGAGACTTTATTTTCTTGGGCTCCAAAATCACTGCAGATGGTGACTGCAGCCATGAAATTAAAAGACACTTGCCCCTTGGAAGAAAAGCTATGACCAACCTAGACAGCATATTAAAAAGCAGACATTACTTTGCCAACAAAGGTCTGTCTGGTCAAGGCTATGGTTTTTCCAGTAGTCATGTATGGCTGTGAGAGTTAGACTATAAAGAAAGCTGAGCACCGAAGAAATTATGCTTTTGAACTGTGGTGTTGGAGAAGACTCTTGAGAATCCCCTGGACTGCAAGGAGATCCAACCAGTCCATCCTAAAGGAAATCAGTCCTGAATATTATTGGAAGGACTGATGTTGAAGCTGAAACTCCAATACTTTGACCACCTGACACTAAGAGCCGACTCATTGGAAAAGACCCTGATGCTGGGAAAGATTGAAGGCAGGTGGAGAAGGGGATGACAGAGGATAAGATGTTTGGATGGCATCACCGACTCTATGGACATGAGTTTGAGTAAGCTCTGGGAGTTGGTGATGGACAGGGAAACCTGGCATGCTGCAGTCCATGGGGTCACAAAGAGCTTGACACGAATGAGCGACTTAATTGAACTGAACTGAACCATGTGATGTTAACTATTTAGCAATTCAAACACTCATATAAGTATAATCAAGGAGGTAAAGATCTGTATGTTGAAAACTATAAAACATTGACAAAATAAATTGAAGAGTTAAAATAAAAAGATATGCCATATTCATGGATTAGAAGAATTAATATCATTAAAATGTCCATACTACTCAAAGTGATCTACAAATGCAAATCCCTATCAAAATTACAAAGGTATTTTTCACAGAAATAAAAAAAATGTGCAAAATTCATGTGAACCCACAAGACACCAAATAGCCAACACAATCTTGAGCAAAAAGAACAAAGCTGGAAGCATCATACTACCTGACTTCAAAATACACTACAAAACTATTCTAATCAAAACAGCATGGAACTGTCATAAATTTAAAAAAAAAAAACATCTAGACCAATGGAACAGAACAGGGAGCTGAGAAATAAAACTCTGCATTTACAGTCAACTCATGTTCAACAAAGGTACCAAGAACATACAATGCAGAATAGGACGGTATCTTCAAAAAATGGTGTTGGGAAACTTGATATCCACATGCAGAGGAATAAAAATGAACCCCTATCTCATACTATATACAAAAACCAATTCAAAATAGATTAAAGACTTAAATATAAGAACTAAAGCTGTAAAATCATTAGAAGAAACACAGGGAAAAGCTCAATGACTTTTCAGATATGACCTCAAAAGTACAGACAACATTAAAATAGACAAAGGGGATTTTATCAAACTAAAAAGCTTCTACAGGGGAAAAAAAGAGAGAAAGCTTATTATGGGATTATATGAAATCATATATGTGGAAACTTTTGAAAACTGTAAAGCACTATAAATTTAAAGTCTTTTATTCAATCAAAAAATTAAAAAGCTTCTTCACAGCAAAGGAAGCAATCAGTAGTGTGAAGAGACAATCTATGGAATGGGAGAAAATATATCCAATAAGGAGTTAATATCAGACAGCTCAACAGCAAATAAAAAGGAAAAACAAAAACTTGATTTAAAACTGGGCAAAAGACCTAAATGTCTTATTTCTCAAAATAAGACATACAAATGACGAATAGATATATTAAAAAATGCTCACCAATAAAAAAAGAAAAAAAAAATCCTCACCAACACTAACCATCAGAGAAATGCAATGAGATATCACCTTATATCTTTTAGAATGGTTATTATCAAAAAGAAAAGAGATAGTAAGTGTTGGTGAGAATGTGCAGAAAAGCAAACCCTGTATACTGCTGGTAGGAATATAAAACATTACATCTACTATGGAAAACAATATGGAGATTCCTCAAAAAATTAAAAATAGAACTACCATATGACCCAGCAATCCCACTTCTGGGTACATAAACAAAGGAAGTGAAAACAGAATATTGAGGAGATATCTGCCATCCCATGTTCATTGTAGCATGATTCACAATAGCCAAAACATGAAATCAACCTAACTTCCAATGATGGATGAATGGCTAAAGAAAACATGATACAGGAAGGGCTGATATTGAAGCTGAAACTCCAATACTTTGGCCACCTGATGCGAAGAACTGACTCATTTGAAAAGACCCTGATGCTAGGAAAGATTGAAGGCAGGAGGAGAAGGGGGTGACAGAGATGGTTGGATGGCAGCACTGACTCAATGGACATGAGTTTGAGCAAGCTCCAGGAGTCAGTGATGGACAGGGAAGCCTGGCATGATGCAGTCCATGGGTCACAAAGAGTCAGACACAACTGAGTGACTGAACTGAGTTGAATATGAAAAAAATCCTGCCATTTACAATAACATGGATGAACTTGGAAGACATTATGCTAAGTGAAATAAGTCAGGATCAGAAAAATGAATACTGTATGATCTCACTTATCTGTGGAATCTAAAAAAGTCAAAATAATAGAAGCAGAGAGTAGAATTTTGACTTCCAGGGTCTGGGGTATGGGAGACACGAGGATATACTGGTCAAGGGGTACAAAGTTTCAGTTATGCAGGATGAATTACTTCTGAAGATCTAATGTACATATACTTACAATACTGTATTGTATACTCAAAATTTGTTGAGAGATCTTAATGATCCTACCACACACACACACACACACACATATATATATATATATACACACACACACACACACACACATACACACATATATATGTATATACACATGAGGGGACAGATAAGTTAATTTGCTTAGTTCTGGTAATCATTTCACAATTTATACATATATCAAAACATCTCACTGTACGAAGTAGGTTTACATAATTTTATTTGTCAATTATACTTCAATAAAGCTAAAGAGAAAAAAGGCAGGTAGAGAAGAGGGTGGAAGAATATCACATGCAAAATGAGCTGCCTGTATAAAGGTCCTGTCAGGAAGGGGAGGATCCATGGCTTATTGGAAAAAATACACATAAAGAGGATATCTGCTCCACTGAAATTTTTCCGTAAGAAAGCTGTTGCATTTACTTTGCAAATCAAATTTAAAAATCAACAACCTACAGTCAATACTGCTATAAATATATTTTTATATTGAAACAATTTTGAAAATATTAATATGCATATATAGAGCAGTTGTCAAGCTACTATAGTAGTATAGATAGGATCCTCTACACATAAGAGCTCCTCCAGGGTATCTTCTTATCTTCATCTCTCACAACATGGTCAATGTTTAATAAATGTTTCCTAAAATAATGAAGGAATGAATGTAAAATGGACATGTAAAGAAGAAATCAGCCCCCAATCAATTATTAATGTTTCTAAATCAAGAAAATATAAAGCATACTATTTTGAAAAGCTTTGGATGATAGGCATATATTGTAAATGGCAATGACAGTGAGATGAATGTACAAAAGCATCTGGACAAAGAGGAAGTAAGATTACCCTCAAAGTTAGGCTTTGAAGCAAGAATCAAGAATCAACGAATGAAAGGTCAAAGAAGAGATGTGAAAAGTCACATTAAAGATACATATAAATTTCATGCCATCCAAAAAATGATTTAGGTATTAATCTATCTACTTTAGGATTAAAGTATCTGAAGAAGGGATGAAATCTAAATGGGACTAGTCAGAGAGGCAAATATCATCAGTGTGTATATAAGAAGAATCTGGAATAGAGGGACAGCACAGGGCATATAGTCAACGTGCATTTATGCACATTTATGCATCAGATTACCTTCATCTAAACTAGGATTCAACACCAAATCATTTGACAACAAAAAAAAATGTTTAAGACAAATCATTCAGGCTTTCCTGGTGGTTCAGTGATAAAAGAATCCACCAATCAATGAAGGAGACACAGGTTTGATCCCTGGGCCAGGAAGATCCCACATACCATGGAACAACTAAGTTTGTGCACCACAACTATTGAGCCTGTGTTCCAGAGCCCCAGGACTGCAACAACTGCGGCCCGTGCATCCTAGAGCCCAGGCTCCACAACAAGAGAAGCCACCACAATGAGAAGCCCTCCCACCGCAACTAGAGAGTAGCCCCACTCGCCACAGCTAGAGGAAAGTCTGCACAGCAAGGAAGACCCAGCACGGTCAAAAATTTTTAAATGTTTTTTAAAAAACACAAATTATTCAATTATCACTTAATTCAAGTGAGGTTCACCTATGCAGAAAGATTCCACTGAACAAAAGACATGAACATCAAGTCCTAAGGTAGTTATATTTCTCATTACAATTTAATAGACTTGCATTCTAGCAATATTTGTCAGCACTTGTAACTCAGGCTGATGTGTCCCTGACTCTGAGAGATGACAATTCATTCAGAGCAGATAAGCAGAGTTTCTGAGGCCACAGGCTGCGATCCAGCCACTAAATACTTTCAGTTCATTAGGTACTGAGCGCCACTCTTTGCATATTTCCCTTAAGAATTATACCACATTCTAAATTAATGAGTCTCAAAATGCACAGTAGTTTACTAAGAACAATCATTTTAAAATCCTTCCACTTCCAGCCATGATACAGTGACAGGAAAAAGATTCTACCGTCCCACCTAAAACAACCACAACATGGACAAAATGTTTGAAACAACTGTTTGCAAGGCTCTGGATATCAGAAAACAAAAGACAGCAATCCCTTGAAAACAGAAAACAAATGAAGTGAGTGGTATAACTGCCCCAGCCATGAGAGAGTTTTTAGGCCATGGCACAGGCAGAAGAAACCCAGGCAAAGCCCACAAGGCCCCCTGGGTTGAGGAGATGAATGCTGACAGTTGAGAGAAACCAAGGCAGCTAGAGTTCACAAGACAGCATGCTAAAAAAAAGAGAGAGCAACACAAGGACAGAGCCCTGAGACCTGTTAAGAATTCTCTCCGATATTCAGTTGAGTACTTATCAGCACATTTATGCAGAAAATTACTCAAAGCCAGGGAAAGAACCACCCAAAAGGATTAGCGGTAACAGTGCCCAGCATTTACACAGGGCCTGGAATACTGCCTGTGCTCACAAGCCAGACTGGAACACCTCATAATTTACAGGGAATTGGAAAGAACACTCAGAAGGGCAGTACCTCAGGAGGGCGTGCAAGTAGCTCCGGAATGAGCCCTGCTCTGGTCCCACCTAACAAGACTCAAAAGCAAGACCAAAAAGGATCAGACTGTTTCCAAGTAACTTAACTGTCTTCCAGGCCAAAGCACATGAAGATTTATAGAAACACAAAAGTATGTAGCTTCGAACAAAGTAAAACTGGCTATATCCTGGCATCTAATAACAACCTAGCAGCACAGGGATAGAACTCAGATCTGTTAAGTATCTTCACAAATAAGCTGAGTACATATCAGCACACTCATGCAGAAAATTACTCAAAGCCAGGGAAAGAACCACCCAAAATGTGGATTTTAGTAGTTTTAGTTTTTCCTTTTAATTATCAAGCATGTAAAGAAACAGGAAAATGTGATCCATAATGTAGAGATAAATAACAGTATTATATACAGTTTATAATACTATACAGTTTATAATACTTATGTTAAATAAATTGTATCTATTTAAGTTTAAAAAGTATACAAGGAAGATATTTTTAAAACACCTAAATTGAACTTGTAGTGATAGAAACTATAGTAGACAGGAATTAATACCATATTAGACATTATAGAAAAAATATTAGTGACCTTGAAAACACAGTAGTAGAGATCATCCAAAATGAAATAGAAAAGAGAATTTTTTAAAACAAAGAGCAAATCTGTGACCTATAGGGTAACTTCAAGTAGCCTAAATGTATGTGTAATTGAGTGAAGAGGAGAAAAGATGGAGAAGAGAAAAATAAATTTGAATAGCTAAAAAATTTTCTAAATTTCATGAAAACTATAAATTCACAAGTACACTAACTTCAACAAATCTATAAGCACCAACAAAAGGAATGAAAGAAAACTATACAAAACACATTATAATCTAACTGCTCAAAAGAAGTGATAAGAAAAAAATCTGAAAAACACATGGAGAAAAAAGATATTGTGTACCAAGGAACCAAGATAAGATGAAAGATTTCTTATGGGAACAAAGCAAGCTAGAAGATGGAGGAGATCTCTGCTCGAAGATGGAGGAGATCTCTGCTCCTAGAGGAGGAAATCAAGATGGCAGAGTTGGGAGATGAAGAACTCACTTGCTGCATCAAATACAACAGAAATACCTCCATATATGGAACAATTCTCACCAAAAAATAACTGGAAACTGGCAGAAAGACCCCTGTACAACCAAGGCAGAGAGAGAGATCCACACATAATAAGGCAGCAAGGGAAGAGAAACGATCACCTGTACCCAAGGGAGCGGACTCAGAGGAGAAGAGAGATTTCACAGGCAGAGATCCTCCCTGGGGAGTGAGCAGTTGGAGCTACATATGAGGCACCCCAGTCCTGGGGTCCTCCACAAAGAAGACAAGCCTCTTGGCTGTTTGGAGTGCTGGCAGGACTAACAGGAAGGCTGGGGAAAGCCTTCTGTTCCCAAAGGAGTGCGCACATGCTTGTTCACTTCTGAAACAGGGCAAAAAGTGCAAATCAGAACTGTGTGAGTAGCTGACTGGCTTTTCACAACTGCCCCATGAACAAACTGAATGTTCCAGCCCCACTTATGTCATGCTGCAGCTCCACACCAGAGCGAGGGCTAACATGACCGAGGAAAGAACCCAGTCATGAGACATAAAGGCAGCTAAGACCCAAAGCAATGTCTAAGGGAAGGGACAGGCATTACTGGTGCATGCACAGGCAGCAGCACATCAGTCGCTTCAATAAGCGGTGCTGGGAAAACTGGGCAGCTGTATGTGAAAGAATGAGATTGCAACATTTCATCATACCTTACACAAAAATAAACTCAGAGTGGATTAAATATCTAAATATAAGTCCAAAAACCATAAAACTCAAACAAGTCTTCTTCAAACTGCTTTTCAAAGTTATCAAACTTTCACTTGTGCACAAAGTCTGTGCACGAACTTTGCAGGCTGTGAAAAAATTTTCATCTTTTACTCATATTTCACCATGCATTTATACTAGTAGCAACTTTTTTGTCTATTAAAGGAATTTTAAAATTTTTATTTTGTTAGTTTATAATCATTTCAGTTCAAAGTGACCCATCTGGACATTTATAATCCTAGTGATGCAATTCTATAATCTGGTACATTGTGACCATGAGTAGGCATGTGTCTCCATTGCTCAATAATAGCCAACTAAATTCTTTGATCACTAACATAACCTTAACACAGAAAATGGCTGAAATATATATTTTTAATTTTTCTTCCCAGGAATTCTTATTCTGAACAAACATCTGTGATTAGATATAACTAAATATAATATAGATATTACTAAAATTTTTATCTATTTTAAAAAGGCCTTACAATTAGTCTTTTTCCAGACCCATGTTTTTGTTGTTCAGTCTCTTGTCTTTTATCTGCATCCGTTGCAAAAGCAAGTACTTGGTATCTGTTTAAAAGATATGGAATAACTGTAAGTGACTTTATAGTTAAAAAGTGTAAATTATTTTAAAAGCACATAATCTCAATATAATTAAATTTTTAAATATATATAATCTACAAATCTTATGTATCACCTTTTCCTTGATTTTAAACATTGTAAAATTTAGTGAATGAATTTAGTAATGAAGTCTACTGAATGATGATGAATTTGTACTGTGGTATAAGACTATGTAAAACTGTAATGATAAAGAAATTATAACCACATGTCCCAAAATTCAATATTGGGGAAATAGCTCTGCCAAATGTCAAAGTATCCCCCATTAGAATTTTATGTGATAATAACAACACTCAATAAAGTTCCAGTACCAAAACCCAAAATAGAAAAAAATACAAATAATGCAAAGCAACCAGACGAGTTATTGCCACCATACTCCAAAAAGTGGTAGTAGAAGTTATTAATATCTGTGGACCCCAGAAGGTCTAAGTTTAATTCCCAGCTAACCCATTAACTAGTTGAGTAAATTTTTGAAAATTAATCACTCTATGTCTTAACCTTTCTTATCTATAAAATGGGAATAATAATAATCTTAACTCAAGCATTGTTAGAAGAACTTAAAAAATAATTTAATGTCTGGTACAGTATCTGATGGGGTTTCCCTGGTAGCTCAGCTGGTAAAGAATCCACTTGCAATGCAGGAGACCCCAGTCTGACTCCTGGGTCACGAAGTTCCCTGGAGAAGGGATAGGCTACCCACTCCAGTATTCTTGGGCTTCCCTGGTACCTCAGATGGCAAAGAAGCCAACTGCATTTGGGAGACCTGGGTTCAATCCCTGGGTTGGGAAGATCCCCTAGAGGAGGATGTAGCAACCCACTCCAGTATTCTTGCCTGGAGAATCCCCATGGACAGAGGAGCCTGGTGGGCTACAGTCCATGGGGTCACAAAGACTTGGACATGACTGAGCAACTAAGCACAGCCCAGTATCTGATATACACTAAGGTACCCGATTATTGACTGACAGGTTGACAAATAGACAAATACAGATTTCTGTATACACAGAGATAAATCACCTAGTAATTTATCTGGTATGTAATAAGTTCTCAATAATGGACATTATGGACGTTAGGACTTTCTATCAGTATTGTATTTCAATAGCAACATTTAGCACAACATTGTAAATCAATTATAATACAATAAAATAAATTTTTAAAAAATTTTAACATTTAGCTCAGATCATTATTCAAATCAACTGATAAATATCACTCAATTTAGAAATGATTAATTTAGACAATGAAGTTTAAATTCCCTTATTTCCATTAATTTATGGTATATTTTTAGAGTAATAATTCTACTCAAAATGAAGAAATTTTAGGCTCATAGATCCCTTTCCACTTTCAATAGGTAAGAGAAAAATTAGTAAAGAGATATATTCAGATAGCTCCTATTATCTAAGAGAAAGATGTCGATAGTGTAAACATCAGGAACCTTAATGAAGAAAGGCAAAGTAGAATATCTAAATAAGCACTAAAATGTACACTAATATTCAAATGTTATATATTAACTCATATTCTATTCCAGTCAGCAGTATTTCATTTGTAAAAAGCCTCCAATTTTCTGTGAATGAAGAATGACTATAAATTATGATAGATTTTGCAGTACATTCATGAAAATCAGTCTTCCAGTTAATAAGAAAGCTTAATGCATGTAAAGTTCATTCACTCAATAAACATACAGTAGGGATCTCATACAAGCATTAACAAGGGGGGAAACTACTACATGACCTATATCCACCAGGACCTTCCAAAGTAGTTGAGGAGATTCATATATAATACTAACAAATAAGCGTAACTCAGAGTGCACTGTGCTGACTGGTATGCATATAAGTACCAAAGGAATATGATGGTAGAAACAGGTAACATGGGTGTGTTAGGGGAAGCACACTGACTGAAACTGCCCACCCTGGCCAGGCACCATAGTAACCATTTGCATGAGCTGTGTTACAACAGGAGGTCCTGGTAAGGAACATGGAACTAATAAGCCACCACCAACTGGAAGAGCTCAGGAGACACCACCTGTCCAACCACCTCCCAGAATCCTTCTCTCTGGCATCCATCTTGGCTGAACAAGGCATGCACCACTAGGAAGGACTCTGAGTCAGAATGATTGGCTAAAGACAACCTGGAAACTAATCCCATCACCATAAAACACAAGACTGCGAGCCACGTGGCAGAGCAGTTCTCCTGGGTTCCCTTACCCTACTGCTCTCCACTCGGGTGCCCTTTCCCAATAAAATCCCTTGCTTTGTCAGCACATGTGTCTCCTCAGACAATTAATTTCTGAGTGTTAGACAAGAGCCCAGTTTCGGGGCCTGGAAGGGGTCCCCCTTTCTGCAACAGGTGGAGGAAATATATACGTTCTTGGTATCAGTTAAGGAGGAGAAAGCTAGGTTTTGAAGAATGAGTGAAAACTCATCATGCTGTTAAAGACTAAAAAACATAATGGCAAAGCAAACAACACATGCAAAGGCATGCAGCAGTAAAAGAAACATCAAAGGCCATGGCAGGAGCTTAGGAGAGATGCCTGGCAGAGAGGAATAAGTCATGCGAAATGAAACCAATAAACGATAGGAGCCTGAAGATCTCAACCTTGTAAAACCATGCTAAAAAATTCCATAGGCAGCAAATACCATCTGAGAATGACCTTCAATATCCCTAGGTCTTCAAAACTGCCAAATAATTATACCTCACACTCTGACCTCCAAATAGGATTCCTTTAGTCTTCTTGGTTCAAGATAACAGAAACAGTGTGCACTGGTGACTAAAACATCGGTCCAGAGCTGGTCCATTAGGACCAGTTCTAATGGATCTAACCTCAGGCAATAATTAATATAGGCAGTTCATTTCCTGCAGACACCAACCTACCAGAGGATGATATGGATATTAATGAGGTTGTTACAAAAATCCAAAGCTTTTGAGCTGTTTGAAGCTTCTTATATAACTGTAGAGAGTTATTATTTCATCTGAGGCATAAGTGAACCCCTAAAGTTGTCTCATTAACATCAAAACAACATGCAGAAACACAGCCAAAATTCACTCCTGATTTCTAAATCCAGAACAATTCTCTTCCTGGAAGGCAGCTCAGAAGAGGATTTTATTACTAAACATAACTGGCAATAAATTTAGATCATGACAAACTTCCAATAGCATTTATTTTACAATTCTTTCTTAAATTCTCTTAACTGGGATCAATAATGTCCATGGAAATCTATTTCCAAAACTGAACAATTCCAAGCAGACTTGGAAATTCTGAAATAAAACACTTGGATATTTTTTCTTATCACTCAAGTGTTCAGTGATATAAGCTAAAGAATAAAACTCCCTTATTGAAAGTGCTGAAAGAATAATCAGGTCCAATGTAAAAAAAAATTCATGAAAGACTGTCATACATATTTTTCAGAACAGAAAGGCACTAATCACAGACACGGCAAGTCCAGGTGAACTGTGATATTTTTTGAACCAATAGTCACAAATGCTTAACAGGTCCCATAGAGCACCAATGACAAACTCAACCATATAATTTAGTGCTCTTCTGTATCACATCATAAAAACAGCAGCAAGGAACTAAAAGATGGATTGAGGTGTTGCAGAAATACAAAAGTAAACCCTCCAAAATCATTTATTTTCAGATGAAAAATAGCTGTCACCTGAAAGCGTGCCAGGAGATTTGGGAACTTTGATAATTTAACCTGTAGAATTCTACTAGAATTGGAAGCTCTGAATACAAAGCATTACTATGTTCATTCCAACTATAGCTAAAACATTCTTGATTGTGCTAGTGATAATCATTTTCATCGAAAGATTCCAGTAACAAAATAGAAGGTTTCCTCATAAACTTTTCATTCCTTCATTCATTAGCATTAACATTTCATTAACATAATGTTAACATAACATTAACATTTCATTCCTTCATTCATTAACTAGTAGATCTTGTTGAACATCTACTTCAAAAGAACAGACATCAGAAAGGCCCTTCCAAGTCTAGATTAGAGATAACAAAAACAGAAATCCAACTGAAAAGAGAAAGACCTGAATGTCAATCAGAATGCGAAGCAAGAGCTGAATAAGAGCAGAAAAAAGGTAGACAGATCATGATTTACTGCCTAAATCATTCTGGCAAAGAAAGAAAGAGAGAATAAAAGACAGTCCAAGTTGGCAAAAACATGGCAAGGGAATGGCCATAGGCCCCTTCTCTACCAAAAAAAAAAAAAAAAGTAAACAATTCTCTCACTTCCAAAGAAAAAACAACATTCAAAGTGTGTCCCTGAATTAGAAGCACCTGGAGCATGTATTTGTAATGATGATTTCTGGATCTTTTCCCTAAACCTACTAACCCCTACAGGGTTGGGGCTTGAGAATCAGCAAACATACATTTTATAAAAGGAGGCCCAGATGATTCTTATGTACACTAAAGTTTGAGACTCATAGCCTTCTCCAGTTCCTATCTGAACATAACTGATCTGTATTCAAAGTAATTAAATATCAATATCAAAAATGAAGATGAATTATGTCTTAAAAGCCTTTTATAAACTGATTATATTTTTAACTGATTATAGATTTAATGAAGCCTCCAAAGACCAAAACTAGTTTTCATGCTTTCTCCCATCCTAAATTACACCTGTGATTATCATTTAAAACTGTGATTATCATTTAACCTATTATACTTGAAAGTGTATATAAATACAACATACCACTTAATGTTATAAACCCTCTTGATTGTCATTTCACAATAATCATAAATCCCATGCATTTTACCATTATAAAGGATTCACATAATAAATAAAGTGTGCACTTCTTAGTTCTAGATGAAGACCAATATAATAGATAAGTATGCTGGAGAATTACCACAGTTAAAACAATATGAGTTTCTGTGAGATTAAACCTTCACATTAAGGAAACCTACACATTGCTTCCTCAACTAATCATTCCTGGAGTTATTACCAAATTAATTCCTATTCACATATTTCAAAGAGTAAGTCATGGGACATTCAAATCTTTATATCATGACCCCAGTGTAACACTGCTAGTATCACACTATTTGGCAAGAACTAGGGTGGAAAGCTGAAAACCAGATCTCCTCAATATTGCTTAAGTTTTGGCAGGATTGAATGAATTATACAGATATTTTTCACAGTGCCTCAAAACAATTATAATATTTTATTTATTACCAGTAGCAATGCCACAACTTATTCATCTCCTTTGAACAAGAGCCAGAGGCATTGTAGAAGGAATATGACATAATGATACTCTACCTCCATCAGTTAACTTCTGCTTAGTCACAAATATTTGCTTATTTTCAGAGTTTTAAATCCTCATTGCCTTAACAATAATTCTCAAAGCATAGATGGTCACTTATCAGGGAAAACTACGTTAACCTGCAATATACACAATAATAAAACCTAAGGCAAAAATTTACAGCTGTTGCCTGATGAATTTATATACTTCCTTCCTGCCTTGGGAAAAATCATATGGCCAAAAACAATACTGAAAGGCTATAATGAAGTGCTGCCTGGATGTTTAAAGTTCTAAATGCTGCCATCAGTAAGATAACAACAATAAAGTTACTGAAGATATTATAATTCTCCAAGACTATTTCTTTTCCCAGAATGGATATCTACACTTTTTTTCCCCATGCTCTCTTCCAACAAAAAGCACAGCCTCCAAAACTCAAAACCATAATTCTTATTGAAACTTAGCTGGTAGAAGAAAAAAGGGTCTCTCTCTCAAACACAATTCACCAAAATCGACAGAAATTTCTAGCGAAAAGGGTCATTTTCATACTTCACTTCTGTGAACTGTTCTTTTAAAAACACTCATAATAACTTGTATTTCTTGCCAGTATTCTTCCCTTGTCACATACATTCTTTTTTTTGTTATAAAATCATTCTATATATGTATTTGTATATGGGTTTTTTTCATTCACACTGTGTTTTATTATTTATAAATCAGGGAACAATCACAATAATTACTGAGCATTTTCTATGGGGTGGCACTAGTGGTAAAGAATCCATTTGCCAATGCAGGAGACACAAAAGATGCAGGTTCCATCTCTGGGTAAGGAAGAACCCCTACAGGAGAAAATGGCAACTCGCTCCAGTAACCTTGCCTGGAAAATTCCATGGACAGAAAAGCCTGGTGGGCTACAGTCCACAGGGTCACAAAAAGTTGGACACAGCTGAGTGCACGTGCGCCCACACACACACAAACACACACACACACACCCCATGGTAATTTAACATACACTTAATCCTTCTAACAAGTTTGTTGAAATAGATGTTGCTATCTCCTTTACATTCAGGATAAGGATACTGTATTAAACAGCTGTGAGTCGCAAAATCAGGACTTCAATCCACGTGTCCCTCTCTCCAAATCCTTCCTCTCAATCTCTGCACTATATTGCCTTGCAAATATTTTATATGTAAATTATATCCGCTAAGTCACCACAATTACATTATAACAACAAAATCACTCTCCTTTTTATTTGCAACATTCAAGCTCTTTGTGGAAAAGAATTTAGCAGCAGCAGCAGTTCAGTTCAGTCACTCAGTCGTATCCGACTCTTTGCGACCCCGTGAAGAGCAGCACGCCAGGCCTCCCTGTCCATCACCAACTCCCGGAGTTTACCCAAACTCATGTCCATTGAGTCAGTGATGCCATCTAACCATCTCATCCTCTGTCGTCAGCAGCATACACACACATAAAAAAAAATCATGATTCCAAAGATTCAAGATCCATACTCACTTGTAACTTTCCACTTGACGGCAGGAAGAAACAGTAATGAAGGAATCTGTGCGGGAACTGTAAGCAAGAGGGCCGGGTAAAAGAGAACCAGGGAGAAACCTCCCAAAAGCATAGCTTTCCTGCTCAAACACCATCAGCATCCCATCCATAGACTGGATACAAATTAAATCACGACCTAAAGAAAAATTAAAGGAAATTAAAGGACATGTTCTTTTTATAAATACAATGACTTTGTCGCTGTTCAACGCAAATTTAATTCCCCCCCCCCAGGGGCAAAATGAGCAGATTAAATCTTGGGATGCAAAACAATGAAGCTATAAGATTATTGTATTTCACTGTATACACATTTCCCAGTTTTTTCATTATTCATGTCTATAGTTTTAAATATATTTGTTTTCATTTACATGAGCTAAAATTTCTAGCTCAAGATAATCCCTGAGAACAGTCATGACTCTGCAAAATATCATTTTTTCCAAAATCAGAACTATAAACTGTTCTGCACCAGGCTATTTCTCATCTTCATAGTATGTCAGCCCATATTTTCACAAGACTTAAACATCAGTCAAACACAGCACACCAAATCCATAGACATGTATTAAACACCAGTTTTATACAAATCAGTGTTGAGCACCATTGGGAGAGAAAACAATTAATAATGAATAATACTAATCATTGACGATCCTAAACTATCAACTGATTTTGAAGTGTTTTCTACTATTAATCGGTATTAGTCTGTAATGGAGAAGGAAATGGCAACCCACTCCAGTATTCTTGCTTGGAGAATCCCATGGGCAGAGGAGCTTGGTGGGCTGCTGTCCATAGGGTCGAACAGAGTCGGACATGACTGAAGCAACTTAGCATGCATGCATGCCTTGGGGAAGGAAATGGCAACCCACTCTAGTATTCTGGCCTGGAGAATCCCAGGGATGGGGGAGCCATCTATGGGGTCGCACAGAGTCGGGCAAAACTGAAGCGACCTGGCGGCAGCAGCAGCAGCAGCATTAGTCTATAAGTCGCTCAGTTGTGTCCAACTCTTTGTGACCCCATGCTCTAAACAATGTAGTCCATGGAATTCTCCAGGCCAGAATACTGGAGTGGGTAGCAGTTCCCTTCTCCAGGCGAGCTTCACAACCCAAGGAGCGAACTTAGGTCTCCCACATCACAGGTGGATTTTTTTAACAGCTGATCCACCAGGGAAGCCCTAAAACTATAAACTGATTATGAAGTGTTTTCTACTATTAATCTGTAAAACTATTAGCTACAAAATTCACCACTCTTAAAATATACGGAGAAGATGACAGTGATGATGATTTCTATAGTACAGTCTCTATCCAGTCAGCAAAAACATGACCAGGAACTGACTGTGGATCAGATCATGAACTTCTCATTGCCAAATTCAGACTTAAATTGAAGAAAGTAGGGAAACTCACTAAACCATTCAGGTATGACCTAAATCAAATCCCTTACAATTATACAATGGAAGTGACAAATAGATTCAAGGGATTAAATCTGATAGACAGAGTGCCTGAAGAACTAAGGACGGAAGTTCGTGACATTGTACAGGAGGCAGGAATCAAGACCATCTCCAAGAAAAAAATATGCAAAAAATCAAAATGGTTGTCTCAGGAGGTCTTACAAATAGCTGAGAAAAGAAGAGAAGTTAAAGGCAAAGGAGAAAAGGAAAGATATACCCGTCTGAATTCAGAGTTCCAGAGAATAGCAAGGACAGATATGAAAGCCTTTCTCGGTGATCAGTGCAAAGAAATAGAGGAAAACAATAGAACGGGATGACTAGAGATCTCTTCAAGAAAATTAGAGATACCAAGGGAACATTTCATGCAAAGATGGGCTCAATAAAGGACAGAAATAGTATGTGTAACATATGTCTAGAAACCTAACAGAAGCAGAAGATATTAAGAAGAGGTGGCAAGAATACACAGAAGAACTATACAAAAAAGATCTTCACAACCCAGATAACCACAAGGGTCTGATCCCTTACCTAGAGCCAGACATGCTGGAATGTGAAATTAAGTGGGCCTTAGGAAGCATCACTACTAACAAAGCTAGTGGAGGTGATGGAATTCCAGTTGAGCTATTTCAAATCCTGAAAGACGATGCTGTGAAAGTGCTACACTCAATATGCCAGCAAATTTAGAAAACTCAGCACTGGCTACGAGATTGGAAAAGGTCAGTTTTCATTCCAATCCCAAAGAAAGGCAATGCCAAAGAATGTTCAAACTACCACACAATTGTACTCATCTCATACGCTAGCAAAGCAATGCTCAAAATTATGCAAGCCAGGGTGCAACAGTACGTGAACCATGAAATTCCAGATGTTCAAGCTGGATTTAGAAAAGGCAGAGGAACCAGAGATTAAATTGCCAATAGCTGGTGAATCATGGAAAAAGCAAGAGAGTTCCAGAAAAACATCTATTTCTGCTTTATTGACTATGCCAAAGACTTTGACTGTGTGGATCACCACAAACTGTGGAAAATTCTTCAAGAGATGGGAATACCAGACCACCTGACCTGCCTCTGGAGAAATCTATATGCAAGTCAAGAAACAACAGTAAAACTCAGACATGGAACAACAGACTGGTTGCAAATTGGGAAAGGAGCACGTCAATGCTATATATTGTCACCCTGCTTATTTAACTTATATGCAGAGTACATCATGCAAAATGCCAAGCTGGATGAAGCACAAGCTGGATCAAGATTGCCAGGAGAAATATCAATAACCTCAGATACTCAGATGACACCACCTTTACAGCAGAAAGCAAAGAAGAATTAAACAGTTCCTTGATGAAAGTGAAAGACGAGAGTAAAAAAGCTCGCTTAAAATTTAACATTCAGAAAACTAAGATCATGGCATCTGGTCCCATCACTTCATGACAAATAGATGGGGAAACAATGGAAACAGTGAGAGACTTTATTTGCTTGGGCTCCAAAATCACTGCAGATGGTGACTGCAGCCATGAAATTAAAAGACACTTGCCCCTTGGAAGAAAAGCTATGACCAACCTAGACAGCATATTAAAAAGCAGAGAAATTACTTTGCCAACAAAGGTCTGTCTGGTCAAGGCTATGGTTTTTCCAGTAGTCATGTATGGATGTGAGAGTTGGACAATAAAGAAAGCTGAGCACTGAAGAAATGATGCTTTTGAACTGTGGTGTTGAAGAAGACTCTTGAGAGTCTCTTGGACTGAAAGGAGATCCAACCAGTCCATCCTAAAGGAAATTAGTTCTGAATATTCATTGGAAGGACTGATGCTGAAGCTGAAACTCCAGTACTTTGGCGACCTGATGCGAAGAACTGACTCATTTGAAAAGACCCTGATGCTGGGAAAGACTGAAGGCAGGAGGTGAAGGGGACAACAGAGGATAAGATGGTTGGATGCATCACCGACTCGATGGACATGAGTTTGAGCAAGCTCTGGGAGTCGGTGATGGACAGGGAAGCCTGGCATGCTGCAGTTCATGGGGTCACAAAGAGTCAGACACGACTGAGCAACTGAACTGATAGTACGTCTAATCTGAGAAAGATCCAGTGAGTATAATTTTTCACATTCTGCTAGTGTTGATTAGTATATACTATTGTCTAAATATCACAAAGGGAAGAATTCTGTCAAAGGAAAATTAAGTCACTCTAAGGGAACAAACAAAAGGTCAGTCTTCTAATTGATTTGTCATTTCTAACTCATACTTACTGTGCACAGTAAGTCCTATAGTAACTATTTCATATTACCTTGATATCAGGGTCAATACTGGAGAAGGGCATGGCAACCCATTCCACTATTCCTGCCTGGAGAATTCCATGGACAGAGAAGCCTGGCTGGCTATAGTCCATGGGGTCGCAAAGAGTCGCACACGACTGAGCGACTAAACAACAGGGTCAATATAGTATATATACCTAAATATTGAAGCTTAAAGAATACTTTACTCAAAAACAAATGAAATTGTATAGAACTTGATGGCAATCTTATTACTGTACCTGATTATGGAAACAAGGGCAATTTTTAAAAAGAAAAATGTTTTGCCAAAGGAGTGTTTTTAAAAGAAAAAAAACTGAGATTTGGGGTGCTTATTACTGCAACATACTCCACCCCATCTAGATTGATTCAATAAATTTAACCAGTTTATATAGTCTGAGAAACGTTTCAGGTTGAATATTGTCTTAGCATATGTTCACTAAACACACATCTGAATCACTCTGGCATCTCTAAAGAGAAAGCGATAATTCCTGTTAATGCTGTTTTGAAGAGTATTCCCTCAATGGTCAAATTCTTTTATAATGCATAGTAGGTTTTTCAGTCAGTTTTAATTTTTTTTTATCTATTCTTTATCTACTCTACTTATATTAAAGTTTTCACACCATAAGGTATGAGTTTGTATGGATGCTGTGTGTGTACTTGAATTACCTCTAGACACACAGTCATCCAGACAGAATTAAAGCCTATATCTCCAGGCCTGTATAACAGATATATCATATGATTACTTTCTTGCCAATGAGAGAGGAGCAAGGTGATAAGTGCACCATCCAGACATACCCTTAAAAGGACTGAGTATACACTCTCTTCTCTCTTCCCAGCATGATGATAGGGCTGGAACAGCTATCCTGGCCTCAGAGATAGAAGTCACATATTGTAAAAGCAAAAGAGCTGCCTACCAGTCCTGGACCACTTTATCTCCAAGTGATCAAATTTGACAGAAATAAACACCTTCCTTAATTAAGTTGGGTCTTTATTAAAGTAACCAAATTTGTATCTTAAATAACATAGAACTTATCTGAGAATAAAGACCCATCCAGCTTTGCTGACTCTTAAAATTTAATTTCACTTGATTAGACCCTGGTACCAAAACACAACCAGATATAGAATACATTGGAACAACTGGGGAAATTGGAATGTGAATGCATGTTAGAGAACAGTAGGAATTATTGTTAATTTTCTTAAGTGTGATCATGGTATGATTACATAAGAGAATGTTCTTATTAAATATATGTTGCAACAGTTATGAGTGAAGTGGCACAAGATCTGTAATTTGCTTTCAAATCATTCATTTAAAAAAGTGTGTATACATGTATATGTTAAACATTTACAACTGTTGACTCTAAATGGTGTTAATATGGAGACTCATGTTATTCTGACACTTAAATTTTTCACAATAAAAATGTAAACAAAGGGTTGAAATATATTTCTTTTGTATACAAATGTACTTTTTTAACCATCAAGGAGAGTAGTGAGCACTGGCAAATTGAGCAGGACCTAGGAGGAGAGCAATACATTTAATTTTAGTAAATCAAGAATCAGAGACAGAAGAAATCCAATCAATGAAACAATGTGTTTCACTGACCTATGGGGGAGGATACTGCTGTAACCAAAATATAGTCTGTATTATTAAGAAATGTGAGGGCAAGACATGTATACTTCCAAGTAAAAGTACCAGTAAAATTTAAGTTCATTTCAATATGTTGAATGTCACTGAACCACAGCCTCCCAAAGACCTCAAAGAAGTGCTCCTCAAATTGTGGCCCCCAGTCCACCAGCATCAGTATTGTCTAAGGAAATTCTTATAAATGCAAATCCTAGAGTCCCACTCAAAATTTATGGAATGAGAAACTCTGATGTTAGGGCCCAAGAAGCCTAGGTTTTAACAAGCCCCTAGAGGTTGTTTCAGTATTCCCTAGTAACTTAGTAGTAAAGAATCCACCTGTCAATGCTGGAGACATGGGTTCGATCGCTGGGTCAGGAAGATCCCCAGGAGAAGGAAATGGAAACCCATTCCAGTATTCTTGCCTGGACAATCCCAATGACAGAAGAGCCTGGCAGGCTACAGTCCATGGGATCCCAAAAGTGCTGGACACAACTTAGTGACTAAGCAACTACAAGAGGTTATTTGATGCATGATCAAGTTTGAGAACCACTGTTTTCGAAAGTTACAACAGACCTAGAGCTTGAAGAAAACTTGAGCCTCAGAGAATACTTGGCTCCTTAGCATGATATATGAAGTCTTTTTTGCTGAAACTCTAGCAATATAGAGGAAAGTACTATACTGTCATGTACACATGGATGGCCTCTAGAGTCAGATAAACTGAGTTTAGTCCAGCTCAACCAATTATTAGCTGTTACTTTAAGCTCAAATTCCTTATCTACAAGATGATGCACCTACCTAGTATCCAGTACTTATCTACAAGATGATGTACCTACCTAGTTAGGCATGATGAGAATTAAATTAAGCAATGTATGAAAATCAGAAGGTCCAGCAGGGGTTAAATACTGTATCACATTATTATTTTTATAATTATTTTCTAAGTCTCACACTGCATGCTGTATTAGTATTTAAATACTTGCTATCTCCCACGCATATCATGATGGTACACACTTCCTTGCTTTTGCCTATATTATTACCTTTCCAAAAAAAATAAACAAAACTCTCACAATTTTCTTCTGCTGGGATACTGAATGTATACGGGATGCATCCTGGTCATCCATTTTCCTCTCCTCCCATCTTTAGCCACAAAGCTTGAATGAGACTGACTTCATTCTAAACTTGAGGATAGGTAGGCCCTGCCTTATGTAAACTAATTAGCATCCCACTAGTCACAGTGATTGGTTAAAGGATGGTTATAATTTACAGTCAATGAAAGAAACTAAATCCCTAAACTGAGATGAAACTAAAGAAAACCCTACTCCTCCCCCCAGGGAGTCACATGTGAGGCGGACAAAGTCTGGAATCACAGAAGCCATTTGACTTTTACAAGGGTGCAGTTAAGAGATCAGCTCTTAACTGTCTGCGCTAGTGCATCAAGTCTCACTTGGAGCCAAACCTATTCATGAGCTTTACAGGTAATAAATTCTCATGAATATTGAAGCTGAGTTGGGTCTCTGTCCCTGAGCCAAGAGGATCAACCCATTTGTCCTCTGAGAGACATCACAGGCTGAAGCTCGTGTCTTCCCAGAAACCTTCTCTTTCCCTTCAATTACCCTCCAACTGTGATCCCAGAGAGCCCCACCCTTACCTACATCTCACAACTAGTGACTGACTGAAATGATCTATTTTTGTGTCTCTCATTAACTCTAGGTTCAACTCAAAGGCAGGAAGGTAAACCTTACTCATCTTTGTATATCCAACAATTAGAAAGTGCCTGGCACATAGCAGATACATTAATAAACATCTGTTGAGCTGAAGCAAGCTAGGCAGAATAATTTACTCATCTGCAGCTCAGATTGGCTGAGACTCTGTTCTATGTGTTTCACATACTGCATTTTAAGTACATGAAAAATGCTTTATTTATTACAATCCTGGCCACTGACGTTTAGAAAAATGCAGGGATCAATCCAAAACATTACTCAAAAATAAATAAACAATTCCTTCAAATCACTGTTTTGGAAGTCACTTCAGAAAACATACCAAAGGCTCCCCTTACAGATAATGGGAAAAGAAAGAACAGTCTAGAGAAGCCATGAAAGTTTTGTAGTTCTAATACAACAGCCAACAGGAAGCCTTCATAAAAGCGATGGGATTTCAGGAGCTATTTAAATGACCTAGCCATGAACCGTGCTCAGTCTTTACCACATGCTCAGTATTATATTAGGAGCTGTAAGGAACACAGAACAGCAAGTTACTACTACCATTTACTGAGCACCTGTTATATTCCCACCTTTGTGCTAAACATTTACCCAGCATATAGCTACATGATGCTTTACTAACAGTAGTCTCATTTTACACATGAGAAGACTGAAAACCACAGAGCTTAAATAATTCATCTATGCCAAAGAATTAAAAAACAATACTAAAAAAAAAAAAAAAAATGACAATACTCAAACCAGAATCTGACTCCATTATAGCACACTAGATCCATTTTTTAAAATAATGTATGCTAACAAATACAATCTAAATGATGTGAAACCGACTAAGTACTATAGAAAACCAGAGAACTTCATTATGGTGAGTTTCCTGTGAAAGGTTTCATGATAGAGGTGGGATGTATCCTACCTCTCAACTGAGAATGCCTAGACTGAGAAGGATAGGTAGAATGAAAAGGAATCAAAGGGAAAAGCAGAAGAAATTTCTGCAAGAGAAAAAAGAACATATTAGGAAAAGATCCAGAGGCAGCTAGATTTGATATAATGAAATGGATCAAGTTTTACCAATAGGGCATGAAATATAAAAGCAACAGATTGAAAAGATGACAATATCTAAGTGATGCTTCCTCAAAAAGCACGGCTAAACAATACAGGGGAAATATCTTTTAAAGTTGAAATAATTAGGAAGGTTTGGACATTTCATCAGAATTTAAAATCTGATGTTTATCTCATTAATCTTAACCACGATGAGAGAAAAATATGCATTGTGATTTGAAATGCTAATTGCAAGATCTAGGGACAAACTGACAAAACACCTAGCAAAATCATTTTGAAAGAATTTTGGAAATCAGTATTTTTCATTTCCAAAGACAAAGAAAAAATTCTGTGACTGTGGGGATAGGTGAGTGAAAACAAGAAAGTTCCATTATGGCAACTTCATGAAATGAATATTTATTAAAAAATGTATCCCATTTCCTGGTGATAAAATATCATACAGTCAAAGCCTTAACATGATGCATAAACTGGTAATCAATTAAATGTTGAACTGACTGCTAGTTTAACAGTTATAATTTTATTAAATTATAGCCCATTCACTAAAACGGCCTGTAGCCCTGTGTGTGCGCGTGTGTGTGCATGCACCCATCTCAGTTCCTTCCACCATGCATGACCCAGAGCATTTTCCATCATTCATTACTATAGCAACAAGGGGCCCTTGGAGGGTAGTTCTGAATACCATTTCCTCCATTTTTCTGCTGTCTTATTCTTCCTGTGGAATCTATGTAGCAGAGTAAGCGGAGGGGCATACATGAAAGGAGACTACCATTACTCAGCATGCTACATGCTTTCTGAATCTCTCTATGCTCATATTTCTTTTACACACTGAGGAAAAACACAAGTGAAGAAATGCAAACGTGACCTGTGGCCAAGCATATATTGCAGTTCAGCATGCAGCTGTCAAAAATACTTGGTCCTTCTCCAAGTCTGAAAAACACATGAAAAACAGCTGTATAGGTAGTCCAAAAGGCAGACAGGAAACATCAAGAGACTGATGCATACGAACAGAAGAGTCCAAAAGTCTGTGGAACTTCCGCTTGCTTGCCTGATGCATGCACGGAAAAAGGTTTTGTTGTTGTTACAGAAAAACTGAAACGCTAACTTATTAATCTTTATGCAAACTTAACTCAAAAATGATACAACATGTTTGCTATGAGCAAGGATGGAGAAATGTTCAAAGTAGGATTTCAACAGATACTGACTTAAAAACAAATGGTAGGTGGATTTCTTCAGCCTGCAAGATTGTAAACTTGCCATTAAATATCATTTCTTAAAGCCCTAAGAAAACAGGGGAAATCAACAAATAGGATACATGTGTTGAGCTAAATGGTTAACATTTTTAAGTATGTACCAGGGAAAAATTATACAAATTCTCAACTATTATTCAAGTGTTACCCAATAAATAACTTCATGAGAGTAATTACTTTAAGACTCAAAAAAACAAAAATTGGGACTACATACTAACTCTTCCTATGAACTTGCCTTTTGACATTTTAATGTGTCTCTTTTTAATAGGAACTTTAATAGGCTTACAAAGACCACTAGTGTGTGTTCCACCAAGTTATTTATCACAATTTCCCCCCCCCAAACTGTCAACAAGGTTAATAACATATTATAAAGAAATTACGACCATTCATTAAATTAGCATTACATGTGACAGATTCAATACGAATGCAGTGTTAGAGTTTAAAAGGAGGTCCTAAACATTATATTATCACTTGCATCCACAAAATGTTGGGTGAATTACATTGTCAGATGCAATGATCATGAAAGGTTTGATAATACTCTCCAGAATTCACATTCATTCAACAAATTCCACAAACATTCACTGTACCTAGCATGTGCTAGGAGAGACGGTTGCTACTCTCAGAATATGGGAGTTCTAACAATGTGAGAACAGAGGCATATTAAAATAATTTAAAAGCTTATGTACGGAAGTATGATTAACAGTATCTGGAAAAATTAAGAAAAGCTTCAGAACAGAAATAACACTTGGGTTTTGCAGGCTGAGAAAGAGTTTGCCAGACATTCAGGAAAGCAAAAGCAGAAAGCACACCATTCAGAATCTTGGATTACAGGATTAAAAGAGAGCCATGTTTAAAGAGGAATAAGATCAGTAAACACTGAGGGAGGGTGTTGAGTGGTGGGAAACACTGCTGATAAAGATGGCAGGCATTCTCATCAGAACTGATGGCAAAGCCACAACTGAAGCCCAGATTTGCCGCAAACTTATTTCAGCCCTGAAAGCAGGTTTCCTCATCTGCAAAGCAGCCATATAGGAGAAGATTGTATGATGCTATAGTCAGGACAAAATACAAAAAAAAAAAAAAACATACTAGCTGGTATCTGGTAAGCATTCAATAAATGGTAAGGAATTAATGTTACTGGATTACTAGTTTCTTACAGACCAAATTATGTGAATAATTTCAAATTGGGAGGAAAAAAACCCTTCAGACTAAAAAGGATAAAATTTAATGTGGGAAGGAGCACACACCAAATCAGAAATTCACCCTTCCTGCCAAAGCAAAGGGTTTTTTAAGACTTCAAGAACTATGGAAAATCTCTCAGAACCAAGGTCTGTGTGCGTTTCTGTCTATCCTACATGATTTTCTGTCTATTTTAAGCTTACTTTCCTCAAAACGGCAACTTCTCTAACACGGTCACTATTGAAATCTCTAAAGCAGTACATTATGAATGTGTCTGAAAGCCCTCTCTGTCAATGAGATGTCCCTACCTCTGCTCCCTCCCCCAACACACAAATTCTTCCCTGAACCCCACCCTGCCTCTCTTTTATTGATGTTTTTTGCAGGATGACATAAGACAAGATAGATGATATCATACAGCAAAGCCCATTATTTATTAGCATTCCTCTCTTCTCTCTCATCCAAAAGGAAAATTCTTAAACAGTGAGGGTTGGGGAATCTACTTTTTTAAATAACAGGTTTGAAAGTGAGATAAATTTCTCAAGGTAATAACTAGCCATGATAAGAAATCCAGAAAAACTCTTGCCCCAAAAATATTCTAAAAAAGAAAAAAATTTAGGTATTTTGTATAAATACTTCTTTATTTGCAAATATTATCAGTCCCAAAAAGACATAACTCCAAAAGCTAAATATTGGCTTTTTGTATATTGTTAATGCTCAATTCTAAAATCATCAGTGTATATTAAAAGTCTACATCCCTGAATTCATTATAGCCAATTAAATTAGGTTGTGAAAAAAATAATGCCAGGAGATTCTTAGCTGAGGTTCAACTTCACCTAAACTCACACAATTTAAAAGGCAAATAAAATGAATTGGGGATACTGACAACAAGGACTTTAAATTTCCTGAACTGTCAATTCCTATCACAAGGTTCGATATGCCACTTAGTCACTGTTTGGTCTATTAAATGCCCTTGGATTCTCCTAAAAGAAGCATAAAAAGCATTAAAATATCATATCTTGAATAAAAGTCATAAAAACAAATACACCAGAGTAATCATCTTAATATACAGATGCAATCATGTTATCAACCGACTCAAAAAATTCAAAAGTACACCAGTATCTTCATAAATAAGTAGAAATTAATAAGTAGGATATCCAAAGAACTCTTCAATGTATCTGCTAAATGAACTCTAACTACTCCCTCTCATCCAATCCCAACCACCAAATACTTCAGGTAACATGGGGTTCTCAGGTAACATAAGTTTGTCCAAAGGCCCTTATGTATTTGTTACTGTAAGTTCAATGCACCTCAAGTACCATTCCCCCATCTTAACCTCATAAAATCCTTCTAGATGTCCTCCATCCCCAGGATCCAACATCACCATTTTGAAGCTTTCTCCAGTCCCCTTCAGGCATAAATAATCCATTCTCCCTCTTTTCTTTCTTAGTACATTCTACATCACTGCCTATTAGTACTGACAGTACTTTTTCCTGGCAATACAGCTAAATTTGGCATATCTCTCTCCCCTCCTCAACTTCCATAAATAAATAATAAAAGCCTTGAAGGCAAATTCATTTTGTTTTCATTGTCTAGCTCACAGTATTGCGTATAGTCCCTTATAAGTCGGTACTCCAAAAACACCTGTTCAAGTCAACTGAATCCTCATGAAAGTAGAAAACCATGTCAAACTGTAGTACTAGACACAGGATGCTAATGATCATCAAGTAGGCCAAGATATTTGACAATATTATCATATTCACACGAAAGCCCCATGAGATCTGGCATTATACTTTATTCACCACACCTTTCTACCCCAAATAGTTCCCAGTACATAGCAGAAGTCAATAAACATTTGTTGAGTGAATGAACAGCAGCAAAGTAAATGTGGTATGAAAAAGGCCCTGAAACGATTAGTTTTAACACATGACACTTAAGAAATTAAAATTCTAAATTATTTCAGGGCTTAGTATTATGTCAAAAGACAAAGTATTCACTATATGCACAACGTTAGAGATACTAGGAAATACTAAGCAGAGGGGGAAAAGATTAAGGATAACACTGCTTTTAAGAAAGATAAAAGCTTAATAGAAAGACACAGGAGATAAAGGTGGGGTGGGGGAGGACAGCAAAAGGAAAATATATGCATGAGAAGGGAAATCACTTAACCATAAAGAATAAACTGTGGCAGGCCAGAGAGGATACAAAAGAAATAGAATGATCTTTAAATCTATCAGTATTTTATAAAACTCTAACTTCAAAACCATACACAGATTAAGCCTAAAAGCTTTAGTAATTATTAGAGCACGGAGTACAAAGTCTTTCTCTAGGTAATATGAAACAATTATTACCATAGGAAAAGTACCCCCAAAAAAGAGTACTAAATAGGATGCATGCTTGCTCAGTCATTCAGTCATGTCTGATTCTTTGTGACCTCGTGGACTGTAGCCCACCAGTCTCCTCTGTCCATAGGACTTCCCAGGCAAAAATACAAGAGCAGGTTGCCATTTCCTTCTTCAAGGAATCTTCCCAACCCAGGGACCAAATTCACATCTCCTGCATTACAAGCGGACTCTTTACCACTGAGCCACCTGCGCTGCTGCCCCGGCTGCTTAACCACTCAGCCATGTCCAACACTGCAACCCCGCGGACTGTAGCCTGCCAGGCTCCTCTGTGCATGGGGATTCTCCAGGCAGGCAAGAATACTGGAGTGGGTTGCCATGCCCTCCTCCAGGGGATCTGCCTGACCCAGAGATCGAGCCCAGGTCTCCTGAGTTGCAGGTAGATTCTTTACCATCTGAGCCACCTGGGAAGCCCCATTAAATAGGATACTCTTTGAGTATTTCTTGTCCTTAGATCAGGATGGTATATCATAAAAGAACAAACCGAGTAAACATGGGGAAAGTAACAAATATAATCCAAAGTAGTGGAAAACACATGGTGGAAAGAGCAATGATTTTGAATCAAAAAGACCACATGGTCATGTTCTAAACCCTGCTCTGACATTCTAGATATACAACTTTGGCTACTTTAATTTCTCTGTTTATTCACATGCAAAATAAGCCTTATCACAACCTCTATACCCCACTGGATTGCTGTAAAGACTAAAGAAGGGAACATGTGCAAACTACCCAGTTTAGGACCTGGAACATGGTCGGAATGCATGCCAATCTTAATTCCAAATTTAGCACACTTAAAAAAAAATAAACCAACTATCCCCAGTACCTACACTTATATTCTGAATATCAGATACAGTAGTTTAGTCATTAAGTCTCTCTCCTTAAGTGTAAAAGGGAAGTAAACATCTCAGGGAAAAGTTAGAACCAAAAGTAACCAGGATGTTGGAAATGGTTCAGTTCAGAAGTTCCAATCTTTATTTGCTAAAGTCCCTGCTAAAGCAGTGATCCCAGGCTCTTGAACTTCACTGATGTATAAAATTTCAGAAACTACTGGGGAATATCATAGGTTGT